CTCCTGATACATACACACATGGCAAACCTGTCTCAGGCCTGCCCATTGCAAAATGTGACGCATCTTTCGTGGGGATGCTTCCTTCATCTGTTGGACATACAGTGACTGGTATGCAATCCAGATCTCCAAATGTGCATAGGAAATCGGAGACTGCAAGAAACAACTCCACCAAGAGGAGAGTCAGCCAGGAGACATGGCACTAAGTCTAAATCCACCTCTACAGAGTCTTTGCCTCCCAGAAGAATAAATGTCCTACTATGATTTGTATCTGAAAAATCAGAATACCTAACACTAAACAGCTTAGTTATTTTTTAAAGAATTATTTTGTTTTTAATCATGTGGACATGTGTGTCTGTGTGACTATATGTCACTGGTGTGGGATACCCACAGGGGTCAGAAGCATTGGTGGTTGCCCTGAAGTTGGAGCAAGAGGCAGTATGAGCTAGCTGGTACAGAAATCAAACTCATTTCCTCTTGAAGAATAAAACAATCTCTTAACCGCTATCAACATTTACAACCACAGCTGGGTCATTTTTAAGGAAAGGAAATTTGTTAGCTCACAGTTCTAGAGACTGGGGAGTCTAATGTCAAGGAACCTACCAACAAAGGTCTTGACACTGTGGTGGTTTGAATAGGGATGTCCCCCAGAGACTCCTGTGTTTGGATGCTTGGTCTATAGGGGTGGCACTATTAGGGGGTGTGGCCTTATTGGAAGAAGTCTGTCACTGAGAGGGTGGGCTTTGAGGTCTCATATGTATTCAAGCCACTCCCAGTGTGGCAGTCTCTCCTCCTGCTGCTTGCAGATCAGGATGGAGAGAACCTCGGCTCCTCCAGCACCATGTCTGCCTGCATGTTGCCATGCTTCTCTCTGCGATGATAAAGAACAGAAGCTCTGAACTGTAAGCCAGCCCCAATTAAATATTTAAATGTTTTCCTTTGTAAGAGTTGCCATGGTCATGGTGGCTCTTCCCAGCAATAGAGACCCTAAGGCAGATACTTTATGGCATCATCATATGGCAGAAAGCAGAAGGTCAGAAGAGAAAGGGGACAAAAACCTAACTATTTTATAAAGATCGTCCCATCCATGAGCATAGGGCCCTCCTTGTCCAATCACCTCATAAACAACTACATCTTAATTCTGTTGCCATGATAATTAAATTTCAATATGTGATTTTGGAAAAGGCAATTTTTTTCAAAACAGCATTTAGGAAGAGGATGCCTCCCAGGGAGAAGAGGGGAACATTTAAAATTGTTCTCAATTCTTCCACTTCAAATCAACGTGCTAAACTTTCTGCTAACTGAAGAGTAAACTGAGAGAAGCTAAAGGGGCTTCCAAACCAGGCCTCTCCTAGTGACATCTGAAGTCATTCTAAAATAGCACAGCCTGTCAAATTTTAATCCTATAATCCTAGCACTTAGGAGGTTGATACAGGAGATCATGAGTTCTAAGCCAACCTAAGTTACAAATTGTGTGCCAGCCTTACGTATGCATCAAAACACTGTCTCAAAACTCTATTATGAGCACATATCTGTGCTTTGTATATGTGTTTGTGTAACTGTACGTATATGCCTGCACATGCATCAATCTGTGTGGTAGTACATGCAAGTGTGTGTGTGTGTGTGTGTGTATGTGTGTGTGTGTGCGTGCGTGCGCACTGTGCACCCCGGGGATCTTCTGTCTTTCAGAAAAGATATATTCATAGCACACTCAACTCGGGATTTACAGAGCTCCAAATGCACAGTTATAAAAAGAAACTGCTAAAACGAACTTGAAATGTTCTTTCTGCCTTTTTTCCTATTCGTAGGAAAGCTACCTGGAAAGAGGAATTACAATGAGAAAATGGTTCTGTACAGAGTGAAAATGTTGGGTCATGGTTGGAGCTGAAGAGATCTGAATAGCTCATTAGAATCACTGAGTGGAAATAACCTGTGTCAGCCATCTGGATCTGTTGCCTCCAGACACTCTGGATGACTGCTATCTGAGGTCAGGTTTCCCTGAAGCAGGCAGACTTGGAGGCTAGGATTTATATGAATGTGAGTTTGTTTTTCTATAGAATGTATTTATAAGAAAACCTGTTGTGCTGGCTACTTTAATGTCAATGTGACACAAGCTAGAATCTTTTGAGAGGAAGGAACCTCAACTGAGAAAATGCCTCCATAAGATCAGGTTCTAGGCAAGCCTGTAGAGCATCTCCTTAACTAGTGATTGATGGGGAAGGCTCAAACCATTGTGGGTGATATGACCCTTGACTGGTGGTCTTGGGTACTATAAGAAAGCAATCTGGGCAAACTATGAAGAGCTGCACCCCTCCATGGCCTCTGCATCAGCTCCAGCCTCCAGCCAGGATCCTGCCCTGTTTGAGTTCCTGTCCTGACTTCCTTTGGTGATGAGCAGCAACGTTAAAATGTAAGCCAAATAAACCCTTTCCTCCCAAAGTTCTTCTGGTCGAAGTTTTTTATCACAACACCAGGAATCCTAGCTAAGTCACTGGACAAGAGAGGCAATGGGACAAGTATGAGAAGTAAGCTAAGCCCGGCTGAGCTGCTAAATCCAGGGTCAGCTCCCCTGCCAAACTGTACCAAGCATCTATACCCAGTGGATGAGAGAGCTGGAGTGCTCAAGCACCTCCACCCAGGGTCACCGCCTAAGAGAAGTCGCTGGTGTAGCAAAGCAGGCTCCGGCCTGAGTAGAAGCCAGCCTTGGCCTAGCACCAGAGTCCACAGTGGCAGGCTGGCTATTGGAAGTAGAAGTGTACTGGAGACTGAGCGTGCAGATTGGAATGAGGCTCCAGGAATGCATCACTGCATGGTTGCCTGATACTATCTCCTCCCTGGTCACCAGGGCACTTGCTTCCAGACTGTGGAAGGGAAGGATGTTGCCTCACGGGCTTACTCTCCAATGTTCCAAATGGCATTCTCTCCCTTACACACGTCCTGGGCTCCGAATTTAAGCAACCACACCTATGCCCATTATTGTATCACATTTAAATGAAGCCGATCTTGTCTATGAATAGTTCAGTCCTTTCTTCTTTGAATATTTGTATACTTTTACTCCATCCCAAGAAAAACACTTCATGTCAGTTACTGTGGTCTGTTTGAAGGGTTCCCCATAGATCTGTTCATCAAAGGCTTCATCCCCAGCATGATGCAAATGGGAGGCAAAACCTCCTGACAGTTCCAATGGTCACTGGTGGGACACTCTCAGAAAGTGTTGTGTGGACTCCTGGATTACCCTCTTCTTCCTGGTTTGTGTGGCAAGCAATCAGCCCCGCCATGATATGCTTCTTCAATCAGAGGCCCAAAACAATGGAAACACTTGATCTTAGACTAAACCTCCAAAACCAAGATCCACAATAAACCTTTTTCTACGACATAATCATCTCAAGTATTTTGTTAAATGAGATGAAGCTGGCTGACCCACCCCCCATGCACTTACAGCCTGTACTGTATAAGATGGGATGGGAGATGTAGGATGAGAACTACCCCATCAACACAGGTTGCATCAGACTTTCCCATACTGTAAGTCCTGAATTATGTGACCAGGGATGATAGTTGCTAAACTGAAGAAGCCAAAACATTCCATGTATCTTCCCCTTCTCTCAGAAGACACTTACCAATTCTAAATTGTTCATCTTTGCTTTTGATAGACCATGAAGGAAACTATTACCGAGAAAAAGCCTATGCAAGGCCAGAGTTAATGATATGGAACTTCCCTAAAAACCCTTTGCTTGAGTGGGCCAGGGCTTGTAGCCCTATATAAATAGACTCACATTTGTCAAATTCATGTTTCTTCAGCCTCAGATTCAGAGCATAACTGTTTCTACACTTCACCTAATATTTTTCCTTTCCCAACACATTTTATATCTACTCTGGATCTTCCTCACCCCCAAACATTCCCTGTCTCCACTCCACATCTACTTTCTCTGTGTATAGAATTCTATTGTTTTATCTCTAGGAAAAAATGCTCTCTCTAAGGAGTGCTAAGTTGGAAGAACCAGTTTTCTCAACCCAGCTATCCCTAACACTGTCATGCTAGAGACTGGAAACTCCCTTAACTATCAGTCATATGCAATTTCTCCCCAACTTCCCCAGTTTCTCCCCAAAGCAAGGGGCAGAATTGAGCTGTTATCACAAGACATGATGCTCCTATGTTTCCATTAGAAGATAAAGTTAGGAGAAAAGGAAAATCAGTCAGTTACGAGCTTCCACACATCAGGGTAAGTAAACTGTCAGGAGAGGGTGCAGTGACCCCGACCCAGGCCCTCTGAGCCAGTCTCCGAGCCCTTCTCTTTCTCTTTATTAGTTCAAAAGAGACTTACAGACACCACTGTGTACATGCAACTTGGAATTGCACAGGAAGATTCTGGGTAGACCCTGATGTTGGGTAGATGTTTGTATATGGTTTCTCATTTTTACTGAAATCTGACTCCCATAATTTGTAGTCAGTGCCTCGGGGATTTGAGATTGGGAAGTAGCCATTGTTCCTACTGGTGAACAGACCAGCTCAGTATTTAAGAGGAGACTCTACTTCAGCCAAGTGTGCCACTCCTGAGAACCGTGGATATTGGTAAGTGTGAGTGCTCAGCCCCTAGTAGCCAGTGCATTCTAGCGGAGAAGTTATCCTGCCAGCAATGTTCCACCCTCCTCTCCCAGCCCATCCTTCATCACACCCCATTGCCAAGTCTTTAATGCATGTAAAATTGTTCATACCCAACTCAAATACTCACCCCTTCATAATTCCCCTATTGAAAACTTTTCATCTTTGGACTGACCCACAGTAATTTAAAGTGATTTTCTACACCTTTTTCTGTTATATATCCATCTTGACTCAATATTATAACTCAGCATGTAAGTACAAACCACCTTCCCTTGCCTCATGATCATCTGTGCATTGAGTTGATAGTAACAGTACAGGTTCCACTGAGTCACTGTAAGGATGAGAAGAATGTACATGGGATCGAACTGTCAGATTGAGAACTGCCCGTGATCATGAGACATACCTCTGTGTGTGTCTGAGACAATCAGATCGCAAGGCTCCGACATTGTAAATGACTGCTCTATTGAAAGTTTCCAAGTTTAAATAGATTACTGGGCAGCAGTAGAATTCTGGAAGGGTGGACCTGTTTGGAGGAAGTACATCATTAGGGACATATCATTTAGAGCTGTGTCCTGTCTGGCCTCTTCCTGTTATGCTTCAGACCTGCTTTCCATCAGCCATAACATGAGGTGCTTCTTCCTGCTACCTGTCCACCCTGAGGTGAAAAAATTCTTCAGCAACACATCCTGCTGCCACGGTGTTCTCCCCAAATGCACACAGGCTAAATCTCCGAAATCATAAGCCAAAGCACATCCTTCCACCATTAAGTTGTTTGTGTCAGGTATTAGAAACAAAGATGAGAAGAATATAATCAAATCGTGACGTTTGAAGAGGAAATAGATATATAGTAAGTACTCAAATGTTTGTGATTATGATGGCAATGTTTACTGTTATCATAATAACCTGATATAGTCTTCCTAGATGTTTGGAGTGAATTCACAGGCACAAAGTACCATCAATTACTGTAAGCATAGATGACTTCAAAACCCAGTCCCAAACCCAATAGGCAGGTAGACCAATGGAACCGAATCGAAAGCCCTAATTTTAACCCACACACCTATGAACACCTGATTTTTGACAAAGAAGCTAAAACTGTACAGTGGAAAAAAGAAAGCATCTTCAACAAATGGTGCTGGCATAACTGGGTAGTGGTATGCAGAAGACTGCAGATAGATCCATGTTTATCGCCTTGTACAAAACTTAAGTCCAAATGGATCAAAGATCTCAACATACATCCAGCCACACTGAAACTTTTAGAAGAGAAAGTGGGAGATACTCTTCAACGAGTTGGTACAGGAGACCACTTCCTAAACATAACACCAGTGGCACAGGCACTGAGATCAACAATTAACAAATGGGACCTTCTGAAACTAAAAAGCTTCTGTAAGGCAAAGGACACAATCAAAAAGACAAAAAGGCAGGCCACAGAATGGGAAAAGATATTCACTAACCCTACATCTGACAGAGGGCTAATCTCCAAAATTTACAAAGAACTCAAGAAACAAGTCTCCAAAACACCAAAGGATCCACTTGAAAGGTGGGGTACAGAGCTAAATAGAGAATTCTCAGTAGAGGAGGCTAAAATGGCCAAGAGACACTTAAGAAAGTGCTCAACATCCTTAGCCATCAGGGAAATGCAAATCAAAACAACTCTGAGATACCATCTTACTCCTGTCAGAATGGCTAGAATCAAAAACACCGAAGACAATTTATGCTGGAGGGGATGTGGAGAGAGAGGAACACTCCTCCACTGCTGGTGGGAATGCCAACTCATACAGCCTCTTTGGAAATCAGTATGGAGATTCCTCAGGAAAATGGGAATTAATCTACCACTAGACCCAGCAATTCCACTCTTAGGCATTTATCCAAATGAGGCAGGTTCATACAACAAGGGCATCTGCTCCACTATGTTCATAGCAGCATTGTTTGTAATAGCCAGAACCTGGAAGCAACCTAGATGCCCCTCAACTGAAGAGTGGATAGAGAAAATGTGGTACATTTACACAATGGAGTATTACTCAGCAGAAAAAAACAATGGAATCTTGAAATTCGCAGGGAAATGGATAGCACTGGAAGAAACCATCCTGAGTGAGGTAACCCAGTCACAAAAAGACAAACATGGTATGTACTCACTCATATATGGATTTTAGATATGGATCAGGATAGGGCCAGTCTGCACTTCCACAGATAGAGAGTCTGGGAAACAGGAAAGAACCTAAAAGATATGCATATATACATAGTACCCAAGAGAAGAGGATGGAGACAAGATCCTCTGAATGGATGGGGAACAGGGCGAGGGGGGCAGTGGGACCTGGGAAGAATAGAGGGGGTAAAGAGGAAGGGAGTTGGTCATGGGGGAACAGGAAGTTGAGGGGGTGGGGGTAGAATAGGGGGAAGAGGGAATCATAGGATCGAAGACAGATCAGGCACCAGAGTGACCTCGAGTGATCTAAAGGTATAACATCAATTGGCAAGCTAAGCAATAGTGGAAGGACCACCTCGAATGCCCATTCCTGATAATGAACTTGATGTCTATAACTATCCGGGAGCCTTCATCCTGGGACTGATGGAAGCAGAGGCAAACACACATCTAAGCACTGAACTGAACCCAAGGAACCCAGTGACAGAGAGAGAGGAATGATGAGCAAATTGGCAAAGAATGGGCTGGCAAAACCAGCAGAGACAGCTGATCTGAACAGGGGAGTGCTCTTGGACCCCAGACCGACAGTGGGGAGGCCAGAATGGGACTGATCTGGACCCCCAAATGTGAGTGTCAGTGAGAAGGCCTGGACAACCTATGGGGCTCTGAGCTGTGGATCAGTGTCTATTCCTGGTATACAATCTGTCTTCATGTGCCTATAGCACAAAGAGAGATGCTCTCTCAGCCTGGACTCTTAGGGGAGTGCCTTGACCCTACCAAGAGTAAAATGATAGACTCTAGACATCCCCTATGTGGAAGTATGTGGCAATAGGGTGGGAGGGAGGGTGGAAGGGGAGTGCGGGAGGAGGGGAGGGAGAGGGAACTGGGATTGACATGTAAAACAAGCTATTTAAAATTAAAAAAAAAACTAAAAAAAAAAAAGTCAGAAAGCATCCCTCATTGTGGGATGGGCACTCAAAGTCTATTTGTATGCCAGGGATATATATTACCCAAGGCCCCATAGATTACCTAGGCCTCCTCAATGGGTAGGTGATATTTTAAAATGTGATTTGAAAAGTACCCCTTTATGAAGGTGCATATGCCAAGGACGAGTTCTCAGGAGAACACTGACAAGCTATGTCAGTTAAATAACAGACACAACAGTCAAAGCAATTCCAAAGCTTTTTATTATAAATTTTATTTAAATTAGAAACAATTTTACTTTACATGTTAATCCCAGTTCCCTCTCCCTCCCATCCTCCTATGTCTCCCACCGCTCTCCCCCGCCCCCAGTCCCACTGCCCATCCATTCTCCAGGGAGGGTGAGGCCTTCCATGGCTGATTGTCAGTCTGTCACATCAATTGGGGTAGGGCCTAGGCCCTCCCTGTGAACTAGGCTAAGAGGGATAAGTACTGGTTCCACTGTCAGAGGTCCCCTTGTCTGCCCAGACCTCCTAACTGACACCTACATTCAGGAGACTTGGTTCATCCAATGCTGGTTCCCCAGGTTTATGACTAGGGTCCCTGAGCTCCCACTTGGTCAGGTCAGCTGTTTCTGTGGGTTCCCCCAGCATGGCCTTAATCCCTTTGCTCATTAGCTCATTAGTTTTCCATCATCCCTGTAACCAGTTACTACCAAGTACCTGTTTGGTTTACACAAAAGAAGTGTATTGCCTCAAAGTTTGGAAGATAGCTGTACAAGATCAAGATTTGGGCAGGTTGGTTCAAATTGAGAGCTGTGAGGAAGGCTTTTTAAAAAATTTACATTCATAATGCTCTCTCTGTCTTCATTTTATTATGGAACTCTTTTTTGTGCATGTGAGCATTTACATCACTTACAATTGAAATTATCACTATCCTTAAAACTTTATAAAAATTACTATGACTATTCTTTGCCATCTAATTCTGAATAAGGTCTACTAAACACATCATATGTACATTAAAATGTCTGGCTACTAATTCCTTCCTTAGTTAACTGTATAACTGAACAAAAATTTTCCTCAATAGTTGAATCCTATCACTTTCTACTTTTATTGACTATATATCACTTTTCTGTGCACATTTTAAATATTAACACATAATAAAATCATGTATCTAAAAAAAAAAGAACCACTTGTCATCATCGGGTTTTGATGAAGGGTCGGGATTATCTCTCATTAGAATATACTGTGGGCTATAAGTTGTTGTACAGCATTTGAACAAAACTCCAAAATAAAGCTAAATTAGAGACTCAAGGACGATGAATTCTCCGAAGGGAAGACAGGTTGACAGCCTTATTGGTTTTTGTATCAGTCATGGTCTCTGCCGTAGTGGATGTTTTTCAAATGATAAAATTTGAAAATTGTAGAAATGACCAGAAGCTTCCACTCCCTGTCAGCCAGGAAGACATGGTATCCCTTGACATTTCCTTCTGAGATATGTGACATCATCAGCCTCAAATTCTGGTGGGTTCTGTTTGAGTAGCCATCACTGGGCACTGGTGATTTTCTCCATATTGTTCTGTTACATGTTGTCTGTCCCAAAGTAAGCAATAAACTTAAAGAAGAGCATCAACCTGAGGTTGTCTTTGGGGCCCATTTTCCAGGCCTTAAAACTCAAGGTTATCACTATAAGCAGGTCTCTCACTAATCTGAAGCAGGCATCCCCTGATCCTCCCATTTAGAAGCACTGTCCTCTGCAGACACGCAGGAATTCGGAGACACTGTTAAACTTATGTATCATTAAGCCTCCTTGACTCTCTGCCATTAACGCATCCTATTTTTAGGTTTCTAAGAAGCCACCACACTGTTTTTCATAATGGTTCTACCCATCACATTCCCACCCACAGTGTCCAAGTGCTCCCAGTCTCTAGGTCCTCATCAACACTTGTTATCTCTGGTCATTCTAATCATAGCTGGTTTAATGATGACATAATAACTCATGGCCTGGGCTTGCATTTCCTTGATGATGAACAATGAACATTTTGTTCCATGCCTATTGACTGTCCCAGGCTTACCTAGCAAAAATGCCTATTCAGGACTTTTGCTTATTTTTTTAGTCAAATTTCTCATTTTTGTTATTTAATTGCAGAAGGCACTAGAGTGGAGTAATTAGGAGGATCTTTCTGAAAAGGGATTATCTGAGGAGGTATCTCAAAGAATGAATTGTAGGTTCCAGAGTTGGATGGGGGAAAGACTTTCAGGGAACAATAGAAACTGCTTTTTGCGGTCTGGAATTTGGATGACTTCAAGTGGTAAAGAGCAACAGGGGGCCTAACATGGTTCTCATACCATAAATAAACAAGGAAGTGATGGAGGCAACAGTGGCAGGCTCCTGACACATAGACCTTGGTGGAGCAGAGAAACCACAGGACTAGAACAGCAGAACCATTCGGTGAGTTGATA